GTTGTCACGTGTCACTATTTATTATAAAATTTTCACTTAAAATTTAAGATAACATTTTTCGGATAAGATTTTCAAATAAAATTTTCGGTTGCCACATGTCCATATTTATTATAAAATTTTGACCTCTTCGAACATTTGTCCACGACCCTCCGGCTTCGATGGAAGATGACATTTGTATTTTTGCACAAATAAAATTTTGTAATAGAAAATTTGGTGTGGAAAGTGAAAAATATTGGAAGGAGATGAGTTTGTATGAAGATTTGGTGTGGAAAGTGAATAAAATTGTTAGGTATTTATAGGGAAAAAATTCAGAATTTTTTGGTTTTGTTTTGCAATTTTTTATGCCATTTGTTTTTGTTTTTTTTAATACAAATGGAAAGTAGTGGAAAAATACAGGGAAAAATAAAATGGTTATGTATTTATAGGAAAAAAATACAGAATTTTTTGGTATTAAAAAAAAAAATTCAGAATTTTTTCGATTTTTTTTGCAATTTTTTTAGCCAGAAAAAACAAGGACCATCGAATTGCTGGAAAAAAAAGGATCGGAGAGTTAAGGTTGCGACACATAGCACATTACCGCGCGATGATGTCACACTGACGTCATCGAACTCGGGCTGAAGCCCAGTGGAAACCTGCCCTTGGGCTTGCCCGGGCTGGAAGTGGCGCGCTGGAGCTGTTTTGGGACATCTGGGTGGGCCTTTTGCCTGGTTCTGTGCTTGCGACAGGGGTGCTCTAAGGGCAAATAGGTGAAGTTGCTATAAGGAGATGCCAAGTGGCGCGCGGCACATTCTTTTAGTTGGGTCTTCGTCTTTCCTAACATTTGGCGCGAAAATCAGGACAGGGCTGATATCTAGGGTTTCGATCAGGTTGAAAATTGGGAATCATTTCAAAGGGTTCTTTGACTGGGAATGGCTTCATCACCCCCTTCAAAACGCAGGCGTAAGGACCAGAGCAAAGATGATGCAAACGACGTGTCAGCAACATCTTCATCCACACTGGAGAAATTATCCCCTGTGGTGGTCTTTGCTCATGGTGCTGGTGCTCCCTCTTCTTCTGACTGGATGATCAGGTCTCTCTTCTCTTTCTTTTTTGAAATAGGGGAAAAGAAATGTTGAAGTAAAAAGTTTAAAGCTTTGCGAGTTTTATTTAGGTGGAAGGATATGTTGGGAAAAGCACTACATGCTGTTGAAGTTGTTACCTTTGATTACCCATGTAAGTTCATTTGTATTTTGCTAAAATCTCGGTTTACTGGGTGCATATGGTGCTTTGGGTTATACATGGAGTTTGTTATCTCTTTTGTATAATCTTAAAGTTTGATGCTTGGCAGACATTTCGGGAGGGAAAAGGAGGGCCCCTCCGAAGGCTGAAAAGTTGGTCGACTTTCACGCCGATGTTGTCGAAAAGGCTGTTGCTAAGTACCCGGGTCATCCGTTGATTTTGGCCGGGAAATCTATGGGTTCAAGGTTATAATCCTTCTACTTTCTACTGAAGATTACTTGCTGTAGCCTAAAATTCTGTTCGGAGATGGTAGTATCTATGCAATCAAGTAATGCTGGAGATACCCTTTTGAAAGATGTATATTGATCTCTGCAGAGCTTTATTTTGGGTGAACAGTTGTGTAGTGTATGCATCTTATATTGGCTGCAGTGCTCAACTCTAGAAATATGGACAATTCATGAAGCTCTGCTGTGTTTCCCTTGTATATGTTTAAATTTGAATTTCATTTTAGTACTCTAACATGTTAATGATAAATGAATTTCTTTGCTACTTATCATTTGTGCTTTCTTTTTATGATTTTTGGATTTCATTGTCTTTAGGGTCAGCTGTATGGTAGCTTGCAAGGAAGGCATTCGTGCTTCAGCAATAGTTTGCTTAGGATACCCGCTAAAGGTCTGAGTTCTGCTGTTATCCCCACATCTCATTTGTGCACATTATGTACTTTATTTTGTTGTTGATTTTGTTTTTTCCTTCTTTCTTTTGGGTTATTGGCATGAAATCATCGTGCAGTAAATCTTCAATGACAAACTAGAAGGTGAAAATAGTTGAGACAAAATTATCTGTATTCTTTGAAGAAGAAATTCTGCATTCATTGGAACCTTAGCAATTGATGTTGTGACCTACGAGTGTTCCCCTTCCCCTTTGCACTTCTCCGAACTATGTAAATATGCCACCGATTGTGTCTGATCTGGGTATCTTAAATTTCAGGGAATTAATGGAGCAGTGCGAGATGAAACACTTTTGCAACTTTCTGTTCCCATAATGCTAGTACAGGTATTTCTTTTTCTCTAGAATCAAGTTTTCTTTTTATTTTTCGTAGTGCCTCCTGGTCGGCAATTGCAAACTACTGCACTGTATGGATTCAATATAAAATATTTGGTTTAATGTTTTGGATGTATAATTCTTCAGCTCTCTCGTACCAATTCTTATAGAATGACCAAACTGAGATTTTCATTTTCTTTCTATATATTATCCTTGCTGAATGAAAGTTCCTTTTACAGTTAGATAACAATGCCTTTCTTAAGTTTTCTATCTCTAACAAGTGTCTTGTTGTATGCTACAATTATGTTTCATGAAGGGTAGTAAAGATGCGCTCTGTCCATTGGAAAAGCTAGAAGTTACACGCAAGAAGATGAAATGCCCTAGTGGTTTGCATGTGATTGATGGTGGTGACCACTCCTTCAAGATTGGAAAGAAGCATCTGCAAACCACTGGGTTAACGCAAGACGAAGCTGAAGATCTCGCTCTTCAGGCCATTGCATCCTTTTTGGCAGGGTCTCTTTGAGAAAGGTGACACTTTATATTGCAAAGAAAAGTTTCCATGTAAATCAAGGGTTGTATCTCTATAGATTCTGTTCTCATGCTGTTCTTGTATTATCAACTGCTTGCTTTGTTTTGTGATGTAAACTGCTCATGCTGTTTTTGTACCATCAATCTGCAACTTTATTATGCTATCGGTTTATCTGTCTATGATTTGCTGAAGAATTAGCTTTGCTTCTGCACCATCTTTCTATGCGCAATTGGCGGTAGCATAGTTTTAACAAAAAATAATGATATTTGTGTGACAAATGGATCTGTAGAAAACGCTTATATTTTATTTCCAATAGTTTTGCGCTTGGGATATTGAAGAAAATGGACTCCGCAAAAACAAAAGGAAAAGGAATAAGTGGAGATTGGAATTTGATCAGAGTGAAAATGCAACACGTTACCGATGGTCCCATACTCTCTTTTGAAATTCCCGGATGTGTAGTCCGATGATACATCAATAGAAGGGACAAGATAAATTAGATTCGGCTTTACTTGTCTCCAATTTTTTCTTCTTGTTTTCCTTTTTCCACCATGGAGATCCTTTTATCTAACTATTAACTTCTTTTTTTGTCATTTTTCATAACTAGGGCATCTCAGTTTTTCTTTTCTTTTTTATAAAAAAAATTCCGAGGATGCCAACATGGTCTAGTTCAGTAAAAGAGGGCATTGAGCTGTAGTTCCTTGATCTCAAGTTTGAACCCCTGTGATACCTTAGTAGTGTGTGTAAGAAAATCTCATTCCTCTTATAGTTTAGATTATCACTTGTATTTATATAAAAAAAAAATTATGAGGATAAATGATGTGTGATTCGAACTCTGACCTTGTTTTGAAATAGACATTATCAACTACTTGAGCTACAAGCTCCAATTAGAACATGTTGTGATAACTTATACATCAAGAATTAATATTTTATGATGCCATCTCATATTTCCTTTTCAAAAAATATTGAATTCTCTCTTCATCCTCTTCTCTTTCTCATATATACTTTCATCATCTGATTTATTTAGCTTATTTTGTATCTGCTGTTGAATTTTAACCTATGCGTTACGAAAAGTACTAGCATGAAAAGTTTCTGCCATTGGAGTTTAACCCAACAATTACTTTCTCAATAGTTGAGGCCCAATTAAACTACATGTCTGGCATAATTTTTTTCTGGCTGGTTGCATTGAAGGGCTTGCAGCATCGGACTCAGGCCTTGGCAAGGCAACTAAGGAGTGAGCTGGAGTGGAATGTTTTGTCAGATAGTTTTTTAGCTCTTATAAAACAACATGACTACTCATGTACGTTACAGTACTTGATACATTATCGATATTTAATCTATAATCTTTAAAGTACCGTGAATTTCCAAGGTATTATAAATTCAGTATATGTAACTTGCTTATTATTCTCACCATCCAGCCTTAACTTCATTGTGATGAGATGTGACTTTCTCTTCGAATGGCCTGATTTGGTGAGAAACCTAGCTACCTTGGGGACCTACACCAATCAATGACTGCCATGTGCCTGCATCATGTCGGTAACTTGTGATTGATCCAAACATTTCATTTGTTTCAAGTTATTAATGGCAAAAATCTATCACATGACATGGCGTATATTATTGCAAGGACGATATGTTTGGAGTGCATATATTGTTCTGTCATTCGTTCTCATGTTGTTTTCCACCGAGCCACATCAATTTCGGGAATTTTTATTGGATGAAGCATTGATATATCGCACGCAAAATAACTTTATTTTGGGAGCCCGAGACAGAGACATATACATATATATTTTCACTAGTATCACATGTAGATAACCAAGTGGTGAGAGATCAGAAGCCAGTAAGGCCATTATTGTATTTTACACTTAGTATATACTTGTACTTGAGTTATCATATATAGTGATGATGAGGCACATCTTCCTTCCCCTGTCCTTGATATTTAGTTGATGCTGATCCCCCACATCTGTTCCATTTAGTTCTGCAAAATCCACACAAATGTCCATTATAAACACATCATTAACATGCATCAAGAACATCCACGAATACCTAATACATTCACTGTCTAACCATATGAACATCTTTAAACCCACAGTAAGTTAGTTTTGCAGTACTTCCATATGTTATTGATATACACTTAAATCACTTGCCTTCTTTTGGTAGCCTTCATTTTCGCTGTCGCTGCTGCTGCTGTCGCTCTCGCTGCTATGGCCAGAAATGCCATCCTTGATCTTCTGAAGGAGATTTCGGCTGCCACCTGTCTTGTTGTTCTTGCGCTCACCCCTCTTCTTGGTTCCAGTTGCATGGTGCTGGTTCAGCCCATGCTGCCCATTAGTTGCTGGGGTGGCTAAGCCGTATTGGGTGCTAGTAGTGTGGCTGCTGCTGCTGCCTTTGTGTTCTCCATGGTGACCTCCTTTCAGAAAGCCAGCAATCTCAGAAACCTTCTGGCCCAATGAGCCCTCCTTGGCTGCTGGCTTGTTGTGGCCTTGCGTTAAGGCCATTTTAGTTTACTCACAAAGGAGATTGAAAAAGGGTTTTGTTTTTGTAGTAGCCAAGTGTTCTTGAGCTCTCTTGGTGCTGGAAGGCTGTTTGGTTAGATCTCTTATATAGGCGATCAAGTGGTCAGTGGGGTTCCTTTTTTTCTTTTGTATTTACGTATATATCAATCCTGGAATCTGCTTTTACATCATGGCATGCAAAATTGAAAATCTCATATACATGCAAACCTTTATTTATTCCTTGAGCTGGAAAAAAAAAACAAAACAAAATTTGTTATGGCTTTTCTTTATCCACCTCAGCCACTGAATAAGTTCCAAACTAATTTTTAATCGTAAATGTTCACGTCAAAGTGATGCTCCTATACTTTCCTCCATCCTCGTACAATATAATATTTAATATAGAGAAATGCTAAAGCAGTTGTCATGTATTTTGATTAAATAAAAAACATCATCTGGATCAAACATCTTGAGCACATCTTTACAGGTTTAAAGCTTTTTATTATAAATGAGTCCATAGGCGTAGAGGGGCCAAAGCCACTTTAGGCCTGATAATAGTTATGTGTCGCTACACGTATGGATCATTGAGTATATTTTAATTGCTTAACAAATACGTGATTTTACTACAAAACTAAATCTAACCTACCCTGCAAAGGACCAATTAGTAGGAAATGTTCTGGGTTCGAGTCCTAGCATCCGTATAATGTGTGTGAGTTTAATATATTATTGTTCATCTCAATAAAAAAAGGTCTTCAAAAAAAAAAAAATAAATAAAAACTTACCCATGAAATTGAAGTTGGAAAAAGCCTATAATTTTAAGTTAGTATAAGGGCAAGTTTGGCATTACTGTGCTGTGAAAATAATCGCTGTCAGATTTGCTGTGAGAAAAAGTAGTTTGGAGTTTGGTAAAATTTTTGTTAAAAGTGTTGTTGGTATTGATTTTACGCATAATCAGAAAATGATTGCCGCATAATCATTAAACCCAGTGCCTCTTCGAAACTGATTCATGTATAATCAGAAAATGAAAGCACTTCATTAGCTATTTTCCCTTATAGCTTTATCTCACAGCAATTTTTAACATTAAGTAATTTTCTCACAGTTTACCAAACGGGTTGGGCTTCTCAAAAATTTTAAAACATCATTATCACCACAAATAAGCAATGTCAAACAGGCACTGAGTAAATTAAGCATAGAAAGGTACGGTAGCTATATGATCTTTGCCACAAAAATATAGTATATGCTTTTGAGAAATGCCTACGACAGAACTCAAACAAATCAACATGTCGTGTATATATATAATCGTAGTGTATGGATTGTGTGGAGGCTAACGTAGCCATCATTGGTCCAGCTGGGACTAAATCCCATGTGGCTCTCACTGGATTGAGAAACTATATAATGGTACCGTACCACCATGTCAGCTGGTGATACTCCCACTCAAAATATGTCATTTGTCTTAATTTTTTAACAACTCAAACTTTATTTTACAGCTGGAATTCAACCTCATTTTTACCCTTTAAAATAAAATTAAGAAAATAAGAAAATCGAAAGAAAAAAAAACAAGAGCAAAGCCACCGCCCACCCTAATACGCCTACCCCGCGCCACTTGCTATGGTCATCGTCCCTGCCCTATCTTTTATCTCTTTTCCTCCATCTCTCTCTCTCTCTCTCTCTCTCTCTCTCTCTCTCTCTCTCTCTTGCCCTTCTTTAACTTTTTCAACCTTTCAGTACTATCCTCTAGATCTATACATATTTTATCGTTGATGAAGGTCTCCCTAGCAGACGTGATTCGTGAAGAAGATTGGGATGGGAGGTGGGTGTATCACAAAGAGACTACATATCAACCCAAACACAATCCCCGAAACCCTCCAACTTGAGTCTTGAGGGGCCGTCAATCATGCTTTATCATGTCACCATCCAAATGCTTATTAGATCCAATACAATACCTAATCATCTTTGTGATACATTGACAACGATGATGAAGTTTCCTGGTTGCAACAATTTATTGGGCTATGGGGATTTGGCTTACTCGCAAACAGAGGAAGAGGAAGATCTGGGTGGCGTGGGGGTAGGGGTTGGGTTGCTGAGATGTTCTCTTTTCTCCTTTTCCTTTAAGTTTTTTTTATTTAATTTTTCTAATTTTATTTCAGTTGATAAAAATAAATCCAGCTGTAAAATAAAGTTTGAGTTGTTAAAAAATTAAGACACATGACATATTTTGAGTGGGAGTATCACCAGCTGACGTGGTGGTACATCACCATTCTATAATTTCTCCATTGGATGGGGACTTGGGATGACTCAATCTCTCATAGGTTTGCTTGGGTTATACAATGAGTGGTGTGGTGTATATGTAAAACTTTCATCGAGGGATTTCTCAAATTAGCTTATTTGAGGGACACCTTTGTAGAGCCCACTCTGTATTGTATTTCACTAATCCAAACGGTCTATATTTTAGATAATCATTCAAAGATCATCTCTACTAAAAATCACTGGAATCCAATATCGTTTGACCACTCAATTGTGTTATTGAAATTTTAGTACTTTTTTGAAGCACCGTGTTCATTGATTTTGTATGATACAATTGGATGTCGAAACGGTTTTCGATTTGTCTAATTTTTTGCAAAGATGATCTATGAACATAGACTTAAAAAATAGATGATTTGGATCATTGGAAAAAAGTTCGTAGAATACCCTTAAGGGTGTCATTCAAATAAAATTATTTACGAAATCCCTAGATAGAAGGGGACTATACATATCTTCCCCACATAGTGGTAGCTTGGACGTCAATTTCAATTGTTCAATTTTTGTACCTACACACAAACAACTTGCAATTGCCTGTTTAAGTTGAAATAATAATAGATCAATAGATTTTTTCCACTCAACTTGACAAAACTTCCAACAAGATTCGCAAATCTGGATTCTAATATAATATTTTTAGTATTACCGTATATTTATAATAAATGTTCGACTCAAATGAATACACGTACTTGTTTTAAAGTTGACGAAATTAAATTAGAAAAACCAAGAAGTCAAATGGAGTAATGATGATAACTTCAAGCCAACTAACAAAAATGATGAATTTGGGTAAGTTGCACCAGGCATTCCAAGCAACAAACGAATATGATGGACATTTATCATGATATATACGGGTCTCATTCTATTGACGGATCATTGAAATAATTTTATTTGAAACTTGCTATATTTAGAGATCTATATACTGAATGAATAATGCTACTCTTATCACATTTGTATACCACATCCTTATACCATCTTATGTGGCAGCTGAAGTGGACAGCTACATCAATTAAAATTATTTAATATTTTCTTTTTCTTTTATGATTTATTCCAGTATTTGTTTTTCTAATTATCTTAATTAAAATATACTTCATTAATTTAATTGATGTGACATATAATATGAACATGCCACATCATGTGGTATATAAATGTGGAATAAAACTGTGGTAAGTGTAGCATTATGAAGCTGGTATACAATCATTTTGAAGCTGATGGCCTCATAATCATATACCTATCTTGTGGAGCAGAATATGTACAAAACTTGTTCACATAAACAAGCCAAGACCACCACCCGTTCCAACTCAGAAGCTAGATATGAATTTGGTTTCTCATTTCTCTTTTTGTCCAACACATTTCAATTTCCAATTAATTTCTTTCTTTTGTGTGTGTTTGTTCTTAATGAAATGAATCTACAAATTCCGATAATATTGTCACATCTCAAAACCGACCATATATATTTGATATATCGCGTGACATATTACCACGATGTACTGAATTCACCCTATTTATAATACATTTCCAAGTTTTGATACAATGAATACATTAGTTGTGCACGCGTCTATGGAATACATAGTTTTAGGTACAGTAAACAAAGGATGCAACCATAAGAATCATGGTCAACAACCCCGTAAAAGAGATCCAAATTCAGATTGAGGCCGTAAGATTGTCCAAGTTCTCTAAGACCTTTTGACCAATTAATTATTAAACATATACCAAAAAGTTTTTCACTTCTGTTTTTCTTCCACAAAAAACGCGGCTGCAGAGAATTGAAATGTGTTGGACAAAAAGATGATGTTCTAGATAACCAAGCGAAAAAAAAAAAAAAAAAAAAAAAAAAAAAAAAAAAAAAATATCTAACTATGTGGGCCACGTTATGCACTCTTTGATTCAATTTCAATACTCTACTACTCTACTACTGGGAGGAGAAGTGGGAGCGACGGCATTTTACCAAATAATAACGCGGAATATGGTTCGAAAATTCCTAGTAAGCGCCTTTCTAAATCTCAATCATGCAATCCAAAACAAAAATATATAAAAAAATCCCACCAACTACAAATCACAAAGAGAGAGAGAGAGAGAGAGAGAGAGAGAGAGAGAGAGAGGGTAGGGACGACAATTTTCCCCAAGACAGAGACAGGATGAGAGAACACTCCCCCACCTCTTTCTGTTTAAGCTTATACATGTGCATGTATTTTTCTAGTTGGTTTTCAAAATGACATATTCGGCCTCAATCCGCCCCTGTTGCCATCTCTGTGTGTGTGTGTGTGAGAGAGAGAGAGAGAGAGAGAGAGAGAGAGAGAGGGACCCTTTTTACAAGTTAAAGATTCACAGAATTAGAAGATGTGGAAATGGTCAGCGTAGATTTTTTTTTTTCTATATGCATGACCAAAGACCAGTCAGAGCTGAATAACTCGGTTTCTCAGTCAAACTTCAACTTTCTACTCTCCAATCTCCACTTCATTTTCTTCTCCATTCAAATTGGTCACCTCTACATGTATATATATAGCATCTCCACTTTCCCCTTTAAATCCAAGTCTCTCACTCTCTTGGCTTATGCAGCTTCACTACTCTACTTTCTTCTCTTTCTGCACACACAATTTAGAGAATCTTCAAAATTCTGGATACTAATTCCACGTGTACAGCTTCTTTCTTGAAACAAATTGTAACTTCCAAATCCCCTTCGGTTCTACTCTTTCTGGGATTTAAGTGGGAGGACTTTGCTCCTTGATAACCAATCATATATAGCGAAGGTGGTGAAGGTGTGCTGATGCAGGCAATGCATGTTCTTCTGTCGGACGTGAAGTAGCACTTAAACTCTGCATCTTATATTGCTCCCAGTTCCAATTGAGATATAGAAATTGATACATAGAATTGAAGAAATGGATTCTAGTAAGAGCTGGGAGCACAAGTCACTGCTAACCGAGATCACTGAAGGGATGGAGCTAGCAAAACAGTTGAGGCTAAGTCTAAGTGCAGCATCTTCATCAGACACCAGACAATTTTTAGTGCAGAGGATATTGTCCTCCTATGAGAAAGCCCTTTTGATACTGAACTTCAGTGGGCCGGCTCAAAGTACTGCGGGTGCAATAGCCAGTGTGCCGGAGTCTCTTGTGTCAGCTAACGCAGGTCCTTGTTTTGATGACTATAACAAGAGTCCCAAGGATCATCAGGACCTCACAGATGTCTCCAAGAAGAGGTGAGCTTAGACTATTCATTAAGTCATAAATATAGAGAATATGATGCCAAGAAATCAAATGCTAATTTGATTTTGCATATTGCAGAAAGATCATGGCCAAATGGACAGACCATGTAATGAGAGTTAGCTCTGAGAATGGGATTGAAGGACCTCATGAAGATGGCCATAGCTGGAGAAAATATGGACAGAAAGACATCCTAGGAACCAAACATCCAAGGTAACTAAAGTGCCTTTTTACTTAATCTTATCCTGTTGTAAAATCCCATAAGCGAATCCATTCAACCATCCAATCATTTGCAGTAACAGTCACCGATGCTACATTTCAAAAAGCAACATATAATACTCTACCTTTTACGCGCACGCGCACGCGCACAAAGCTTTGTCAGGTTGACCCACAAATGGGAAATATAGCAGTCTTCTGCATCATAGAAATATCACTTTGTTATGAACATTCTGATGACCAATTTTGTTTAAATTTGCAGAAGCTATTACAGATGCACCTACCGAAACACGCAAAGCTGTTATGCTACAAAGCAAGTGCAAAGATCAGATGAAGACCCCACGATATTCGAAATCACATACAAAGGAAAGCATACATGTTCTCATGGTAGCAATTCAGTTCTACCACCACCATCACCAGAACAGCAAGAACAAAAACGAAACAAGCAAAATAATACTTCTCACCAACAGCAGTCTCAAGGAAACCAAATGAGCTTTCCGACTAATCTGAGAGTCGATACCAAGTTCTTGGAAGACAGAGAGAACATGACATCTCCATTCTCTTTCACTTCAACTTCATTTGGATGTATGATGGCTGATGATGCCTTTCTATCTTCAATGCTTGATGATAACAACACTTTCTTTGACAACTTCAATCATTCATTGCTATCTCCAGCCGCAGGCGAATCAAACTACTATTTGATGCCACCAAGCCAGATGAGAAACATTGCAGGAAACGAGCAACTTTCAGAATGTGGTCTTACTGAGATCATCTCAGCCAACAATTCGTCAACCAATTCTCCAATTCCAGACATGGATTTTCCACTGGAGCCAGTGGAAATTGAGCCCAATTTCCCATTTGACACCACAGGAATTTTCTCATAATTTTACTTGAGTTTGAGAATAAGAATAAGTAGCATCCAGGTTGCTACTAGCTTGTTTCAAACCTTGAATCAACCATGTATTATAAGATAGGAGGAATGCTAGTAAAAGATAAGAGCCTTTTCTGATGTTAGCCGATGGATAGAATTGATTATATTATAGTTTTCAAATAATATTTTTTCCTTTTAACTCCAATTGAGGACCATATTTGTTCAGAATAAAGCAGAAGTTCCATACAAACACATCTTATAACCAAATAGGACAAGTGAAGATCCTACAACATTGCTCTCAATAAATAAACAAACTTATAGACTCGAACTGGGAGGTCATGTTCTTGTTTAAATAACACATAACAGAAACACAGAGATATAAAAAAGGAATATAAACAATATATATGATTCTAGATTGGACAATTACCCAACATTTCAAGACTCAGCTAAAAAAACAATAGAAATGTTGCGACTTTACATACAGTAAATGAGAGACTATGGCTTCTCAAGGGAACAGGGGAAAACATGACTGCAGAGATATTAGGCATAGGCAATAGTAGGTTGTAACAAAGCAGAAGAAAAAGAGTTGAAGACTTCAAATCTAACATAGAAATAAAACGCAATAAGAAAGAACCCAGAGCAAAATCTGTCTGCTGCACCTAAACAGAAGTTTTCTTCTCCTCCTTCAACCCTGAAATAGGAGTTGATGTTCTTGCTTTTGCATCTTCAGCTTTTCTGAGGGCTCCTCTCAACCCCAACACAATGAATATGTTGGTTAGAGTGAGAAGTGCCTCAGCCCCACCATGTAACCAATCGACATTCGCCAATGAAGTGCCATATTTCACCTTTGCTGTTCAGCCAAATAACCAGAGTACCATAAGGCATCAGTTCATGAACTGATATGAAGTGTACAACATTCTCAAACAGTGAAAACTTACCATAAATTCCAGCAGGGACTGCTCAGTAGACGAGAGGAAAGCAAAGAACAAAAAGAAGGATGTTAATAGAGTTGAAACACAGCAGTTGACAGTAAACAATTTACAATACCAGCCCAATTTCAATAAGAAACAAAACAATCATGTAACATTTTACAAAACTAGAGCGAATGTTTGCAGGGGCCATTGAATTGAACTATGACAGACCCACAACAAGCATTGTCTTTTGGATTTCAAAGACACTAGAAGCCTATCACAAAGCTATATAAACAAATCTTCCAGCCGCCCAAAGAAAAGAAATATGATAAAACAACAAGCACTGTCGACAAATGGTACAAAAGCATAAGACATGCATAAGTTCAGGTCCTTGACTAGGTCCACTTCCATCTTCCTTTTATGCTCCCATGTGATTGGCCATATGTTATAAATTAATACAATGGAATGTAGAAGGAGTTTGTGGTTTACGTATCAATTTGCAACCACTTGAAGAGCTCAATAAAGGGATACCCAAAGCCCAAGAGAAGAGACCATAAAAGTAGAAAGGTAATAGAATGAAAAGAAGTGGAAAAACTCACTGGTGGCCCCCACAAAAGCTAGCAAGAAGTAGAACCCAAAAAGGGTGAGCTTTGGGGCGGACTTGGATTTGGTGATGAAGTACAAGAAACCAAGGTAGGGAAACAATGAAGCTGCAAAGAGCTGTGAAGCTATGCTCTGTGAATCAATGCTGGGTGCCCATGGATCAATTGGGAAAAGCACCCCACAGACAATCCCACCTCTTGTTTTTTTATTGCCAATCCTTCTGTCTACGTAATACTTGGAGTCTCTGTTTCTTGAAAATGGGTTTGCTAAGGGACTCTGCAAGAAATAAGAGGAACCCAGAAAAGTTGAAGGGAGACGAAAGGTGGGGACTTTACAAAGAGATTGAATACAAGCAATAGTCATTGAGAACAGAGTTGCAGTGAGAGTGTTAAGAGTGGGTGTGGTTGGAGGAGATGACCCATTTTGTTATCATCAAAGTCAAAATAACTGGCTCATCTGACCGTCCAATTTGCTTACTTCTGGGAAAGAAATATGTAGTTGGTTTGATGGGCTCTGTGGCCCAACTCTCTCAATTTTAGTGATAGCGGCCTTGGTTTCTAAATTAATAATATCAAGCGTAATGCTAATGCTTTCGATAAGTCGTGTGGTTGAATAACAAGCATTTCTTTAATATATATATATATATATATAGAGAGAGAGAGAGCAAAAGGCATGCGGAGAACGATAAAATATTCAAAAGAAATCTGAAGATTGAATTTTGGACCAAACTAGACAAGGCTTATTTATAGTCCCTTTAAATAGTGTTCAGCAAAGTTTAACCTTCAAAAATGGCATACCAACAAACTGCGTCATCTCCAAAATGTCCCCGCTTTCTTATTCTTCTAGTCATCACTGTATTTTGTTGTTGTTTTGCAACAGCAAAAACCCAGAAGAGTTTAGAAAGAGGCGCTTCTTTTTCAGTTGAAGATGATTCTGGTTTCCTAACTTCCCCAGATAAGTCTTTTACATGTGGGTTCTATGGGGTGGGCACAAATGCCTACTGGTTCTCCATTTGGTTCACAAATTCCGAGAACAAGACCCTTGTTTGGATGGCTAACAGAGACAGACCTGTCAATGCTTTGGGGTCCAGAGTTTCACTGAGTCGAGATGGCACCATGGTCTTGACTGATGTGGACGGCAAAATTGTCTGGGAGAGCAGCACCAACTCAACTCCCACTGGTGCTGAAAGGGCGGAGCTTTTGAATTCTGGCAACCTTGTTTTGAAAAACCCACTAGGTAAAATTCTCTGGCAAAGCTTTGATTTTCCCACTGATACTCTCCTCCCAAAGCAACCCTTTACAAAGACCATGAAGCTGACATCTAGTTTGGGAAGAGGCAACTTTGGTACTGGATATTTTAGTTTCTATTTTGATAATGACAATGTTTTGAGGTTGATTTATGATGGTCCTGACATATCAAGTGTGTATTGGCCTGGGCCTGGTTTGAGTGTATATCAGAATGGTAGAACAGACTACAATAGTAGTAGAATTGCTGTTTTTGATGAAATGGGCAATTTTGTATCCAGTGATGGCTTGATATTCAGTGCTTCTGACATGGGTGCAAGGGTGAAACGGAGGTTGACAACGGATTATGATGGAAACCTGAGACTTTATAGTCTAAACTCGACAGGATCATGGGTGATCACCTGGGAAGCTCTGGCACAGCAGTGCAGGGTGCATGGGATCTGTGGGAGAAATGGGATTTGTGTTTATACACCAGAGCTTAAGTGCTCATGCCTTCCTGGCTATGAGGCAGTGGATATAAGTAACTGGAACAAGGGTTGCAAGCCTAAGTTCAAGCCTACATGCTCTCAGTCCCAGAGAGTGAAATTCAAGCAGATTCAGTATGTAGATTTCTATGGATTTGATCTCAATTACAGTGAATCCACTTCCATTCAGAATTGCACAAAACTCTGTGTCGAGGATTGCCGTTGTGAAGCATTTGTCTATAGGGGACAGAAGTGTTACACAAAAGGTGCTCTCTTCAGTGGGCTCAGGTCTCCAACTATCGAGGGCAGTCTGTACTTAAGGCTGCCTGAGCCTCTGAGTATGGAAACCTCACCAGCGGCCAATCTCACTGTATTTAATTCATGCAGGACTAATGCTGTTAAAATAGGTACTTCTTCAATGTATGACCATCCCAGTAAAACGGTGAGATGGGTATATCTGTATTCTTTTGCTGCTGCAATCGGTGCTGTTGAATTTCTCTTCATATTATCAGGTTGGTGGTTACTTTTCAGAAGATCACAAGGTATGTCAGCTCCCTTGGTAGATAAATATCGCTTGATTTCAAGTAACTTTAGAATGTATCTCTATGCTGAGCTGAAGAAAGCAACCAGAAACTTCAAGGAAGAACTGGGAAGAGGGGGTTCTGGGACTGTATATAAGGGTGTTCTGGCCGATGAAAGAGTGGTAGCTGTCAAGGCATTGGCGGATATTTATCAAGCGGAAGAAGTATTTTGGGCAGAAGTCAGCACAATTGAAAAAATCAATCACATGAACCTAGTGAGAACATGGGGATTCTGTTCTGAAGGTAAACACAGACTTCTGATCTCTGAATATGTTGAAAATGGATCCTTGGATAAGCACTTGTTTCCCCCAAATTTTCTTGGATGGAAAGAGAGGTTCAAAGTTGCAATAGGGATAGCTAAAGGTTTAGCCTATCTTCACCATGAGTGTCTAGAATGGGTTATCCATTGTGATGTGAAGCCTGAAAATATACTCCTAGACAGTAATTTTGAACCAAAGATTGCAGATTTTGGGCTGGCAAAGTTATTCGAGAGAGGCGGCCTCAATGCAGTGTCCTCTCACATTCGAGGAACAAAAGGGTACATGGCCCCGGAGTGGGCTCTGAACCTTTCAATCACAGCAAAAGTGGATGTTTACAGTTATGGTGTAGTGCTTCTAGAGATAGTGAAGGGCATTCGACTTTCGAATCGGGTGGTGGAGAATGCTGAGGAGGAAGAAGCAGAGATGAAGAGGTTTGTCAGGATAGCCAGAAGGAAAATTCAATGTGGGGAAGATGAATGGATAGAGGATATGTTGGATCCAAGATTGGAAGGGCAATTCAGCATGAACCAAGCAGCAAAGATGGTTGAGATTGGTATTTCCTGTGTGGAGGAAGATAGGAACAAAAGACCAACAATGGATTCAGTAGTGCAAATGTTGCTAGAATGTGAAGAGGAATCCAACATTCAGTAGTAATTGCATTTAAGATGTATGCTGTAAGTAATGTTTCTTTTTGAATAACAAATGTTTACTTGAACTGTATTGTGTATTCGTCTACAAATGAGTGATAAAATATAGATTATAATGAACCCTATTGCATTTAACCTTGTTTCTAGAAGATGGATATGATTTGCTTTCAGTCAATTCAGAATGTATCTCTATGCTGAGCTCAACCAAAAACTTTAAAGAAGAGCTGGGAAGAAGGGCTTCCGGGGGTTGTATATAAGGGTGTTCTGGCAGATGAAAGAGTGGTAACTGTCAAGAAATTGGCAGATATTTATAAAGGAGAAGTATTTTGGGCAGAAGTAAGCAAAATTGTGAAAGTCAATCACATGAACCTAGTGAGAACATGGGGATTCTGTTCTGAAGATAAACACAGACTTCTAATCTCTTGAGTATGTTGAAAGCAGACCATTAGACAAGCATTTGTTCCCCAAAAATTTCCTTGGATGGAAAGAGAGGTTTAAAATTGCACTAGGGATTGCTAAAGGTTTATCCTATCTTCACCATAAGTGTCAAGAATGGGTTATTCATTGTGATGTGAAGCCTGAAAATATATTCCTAGACAGTAATTTTGAACCAAAAATTGCAGATTACGGCCTGGCAAAGTTTTCTCAGAGAGGCGGCCTCAATTCAGTATCCTCTCACATTCGAGGAACAAAAGGGTATATGCCCCGGAGTGGGCTTCGAACCTTTCAATCACTGCAAAAGTGGATGTTTACAGTTATGGAGTGGTGCTTCTAAAGATATAGATGGGCATTCGGCTTTCGAATAGGGTGGTGGAGAATGGTGAGGAGCAAGAAGCAGAACTGAAGAGGTTTCTCAAGGTTGCCAAAAGAAAAATTCAAAGTGGGGAAGATGAACGGATAGAGGATATGTTGGATCCAAGATTGGAAAG